AATCATCCCCAACTAGATCATCCCAGCCAAGACTTCATCTACCCAGGTCTTAAAAAGCTCTAAGGATGGAGATTTCACAGGCTCTCTGGGTAACTTGTTCGTGCTTAACTACCCTCCTCATGAAAGTTTTTCCTAATATTTAATCTTAGCTTCCCTTGTTGCAACTTGAGACTATTGTTCCTTGTTCTGTCATCTGCCACCACTGAAAACAGTTTAGCTACATCCTTTTTGTAACCACCTTTCAGGTATTTGAAGGCTCCTATTAAATCCCCCCTCTGTGTTCTTTTCTTCAGACCAAATAAGCCCAGTTCCCTCAGCATCTCCTCATAAATCACATGCCCTAGCCTCTTAACCATTTTTGTTGCTTTCTGGCTAGACTCTCCTCAATTTGTCTGCATCCTTTCTGTAGTATGGGGCCCAAAACCGGACACAGTATACCGGATGTGGCCTTACCAGTGCTGAACACAGGGAATAATCGTTCCTCTCGATCTGCTGGCAACACTTCTACTAATGCAGCCCAGTATGTTGTTATACTTCTTCACAATAAGGGCATGCTGTTAGCTCATATTCTGTTTATTTTCCATTGTAACCCTCAGGTCCTTTTCTGTAAAGCTGCTGCTTATCCAGTTAGTCCCCAGCCTATACTGGTGCATGGGGTGGTTCCATCTTAAGTGCAGGACTTTGTGCACTTGTCCTTATTGAACTTCATGGGCATTTACACACGTGCCAGAGTGGAGGGGGACTCTTTAATTAGGGTGGCTCTGACAGCCACTCTAATTAAAACACCCGCAGTGTCACATGTATTCAGTGTCCCATGCTTCAAAATGGCAGCAGCGGTGCTTTAACTAAAGCTCATTTGATGAGCTTTAATTAAAGCGTCTCACCACCATTTTGAAATGTGGGTATGCTGAATACAGGACATGGAGACTGCTGGAGCATACTAATTAGCACGCTCCAACAGAATTGCAGCAGTCTCAATTAACTGAGTCTGCTCCAATGAGTGCTAGTTAGTATGCATCAGAGCAAAGCTTCATCACATGTATAAGGGCCCCATGAGATTTCTTTTGGTCTAGTTCTCCAATTTGTCTAGGACTCTGAATCCTAGCCCTACCCTCCGCATATCTACTACTCTCCCCACCTTGGTGTCATATGAAAACTTGCTGAGGGTGCACTCCATCCCATCTTCCAGATTGTTGATGAAGATTTTGAATAAAAACAGCCCCAGGACAAACCCCTGGGGCACTTCATTTGATACCGACTGCCAAGTAGGTACCAAGCCATTAATTACTAACCTGTAAGCCTGATGATCCAGCCAGTTTTCTATCCACCTTAAAGACCATTCATCCAACCCATACTTCTTTAGCTTGCTTGTAAGAATGTTGTAGGAGACAGTATCAAAAACCTTGCTAAAGTCAAGGTATATCACATCCACTGGTCTCCCCACATCCACAGAGCCAGTCACCTCATCATAGAAGGCAATCAGGTTGGTCAGACATGACTTGCCCTTCATGAATCCATGCTGACTGTTCCTAATCACCTTCTTCCCCTTCAAGAACTTAGAAATGACTTCCTTGATGATCTACTCCATGATTTTTCCAGGGACTGAGGCAAGGCTGACAGGTCTGTAGTTCCTTCTATCCTCCTTCCCTTTCTTAAAGATAGGCACTTTATCTGCCCTTTTCCAATTGTCCAGGACCTCTCTTCAGTGCCACAAGTTTTCAAAGATAATGGCCATAGGCTCTACAATCACATCAGCCAACTCCTTCAGCACTCTCAGGCATAGGTGGAGAGAAATTTTTGAATGCAGGGAAACTCTGCAGGGGAATGGTCATGGGGCAGTGGGAGTGGGGCTAGGGCTCCGCTCAGGCCAAGCCGGGTTGTGGGGCAATCAGAGCCTAGCAGCTACTCCAGGGGCATGGGCAAGCAGCTCCCACTGCTGTGTGCACCATGGGGGAGCCAGGGGAGGGGGGGCACATTTCTCCCCTTGGCTCCCCCGTGCCGCGCCCCTGGATGAGCTGCTGGGCTCTGATTGTCCCACAATCTGGCCCGACTGGAGCCACAGGTGAATGGGGCCCTGGCCAAAGCATGTGCTCCCCCCGCCCCACCCCCGATCTTTGCATTGAGCAAGGGTGGGCTGCAGCTGTGAGCTGGGCTCTGCCTGCTCTCCGATTTCGCACCTCGCTGCTGCTGCTTTGAAAGCGGTACGGCGCAGCATCATGTGCTTTGCTGCAGCAGTGGGACACATGTGGTGCTGTACTACGCTGCTTTTGAAGCAGTGGCAGCGAGGCTTGGAGGCAGGGAGCAGGCCGATCCCAGCTCGCAGCTGCAGCTTGCCCTTGCCCCATGCAAAGATTGGGGGGGCACGTGCCTCCCTCTTGGCGCCATGCCTGAGAGGGCCACTGAGCTCCGATTGTCCCACAACCTGGCTCAGCCAGGGCCCCATTCATTGTGAATGGGGCCCTGGCTGGGCCAGGTTGCGGGAAAATCCCTGCAGTATAACAGGGAGCGGGTGGGGGCAGGGGTGAATGATTCTGTCTCTTGTGCTGTGGGGGTCTTGATCTACCCCTTCCCACAAGCCCAGGTAAAGAAAGAAACTTACCTTGTACACCCAGGTTTGCAGCGGGCCCAGCAGGCAGGTATCTGAGTGTGTGCCCCGCTCCCCCCTGCTGCAGCAGCCTGTGGCTGGGCTGACCTCTGGCCATACCTGCTTCCCCCTGCGTTTTGGCGGGGGGGGGAGGGAACTGAGCCCAATTAGCAACCCCCTTCTGTTGCCTACACTCTCAAGTACATTGCATCCAGCCCCATTGACTTGTACACATCCGGCTTTTCTAAATAGCCCCTAACCTGTCATCATGGTCAGCTGCTCACCTCCTCCCCAAAATGTGCTGTCAGATGCAGTTGTCTGGTAACTGGCCTTGCCTGTGAAGACTGAGGTGAAAAAGGCACCAAGTACTTCAGCCTTTTCCCTATCATGTGTCACTAGGTTGCCCCCCCACCCATTCAGCAAGGGACCTACAGTTTCCCTGATCTTCCTCTTGTTGCTAACATACTTGTAGAAACCCTTATTGTCACCCTTCATATCCCTTGCTAGCTGAAACTCCAGTTGTGCTTTGGCCTTCCTGATTTCATCCCTGCATGCCTGAGAAATACTCTTATACTCCTCCCTAGATTTTTGTCCAAGTTTCCACTTCTTGCAAGTGTCCTTTTTGTGTCTGAGCTCACTGAAGAGTTCCCCGCTAAGCCAAGCTAATCTTCCTGAGCATGGGATGGTACATTCCTGTACCCTTAATAAGGTTTCTTTAAAATACAACCAGCTCTTCTGGACTCCTTTTCCTCTCAGATAGGCCTCCCAAGGGATGTTGCCCATCAGTTCTCTGAGTGAGTTGAACTTGACTGTACCCTGCAAGCTATACCTGGGGCTGCAACTCTAAAACATGCACTGGCAAAGATAGAATTTTTTGTTGGCTCCAGGTTTATATAGCCAAGTCTTCATTTTCACAGGCACTAAATTCTGCCACTCTCAGAAAGGCTGTGGCTGTAAGAGAGTGTGCTGTTATGCAGAGCTGTTACACCTGATCATGCACAAATATTCAGAGGCCTGGACAACTACAGGTCTTAAGAAGACTCCAGATGCCCATTAGTAAGGAAAATGGCTACATGCCCACGGTGCGAGGTGGAGTTTCATAGTTTCTAGGGTCGGAAGGGACCTGAGAAGATCATCTAGTCCGACCCCCTGCCATGACAGGAAAGAGTACTGGGGTCAAACGACTGAAG